TCTCTCTCTCTCTCTCCACACAATTGCTATAATCTAACGGCAAGTATGACATACTCTGGACATTAGTGAGTGAGAGAGAGAGTGAAAGAGACCTAAGTTTCAGTTTAATCTAATTTGTGATTTGATTTGTGTTTGCAATGATAGCCCAAACTAGTGGTCAACTACTGGACAGAGCTATACATAAGTGTATTACGAATAACACGACAAAAGTGAATGAGAATCACCCGAATGGCAAATACCGGTGCGAATACTTCGGATGCAACCAATGGTTTGCCCGCAAGGACCTAATGGACTCTCACTTAAGACTCCACACATCAATGCAAGAGGCGATCACTTTTGAGCAGACATTTGACGCAAACACTTATGATAAGAGCAAAGACCCCAACACTCAGAAGATCAATGAAATCATTTTTGTGCCACAAATGGAGCTCGAAGTCATTGAATACAGCAGTACTGCTGAGACCACTAATGGTATCTATTGTTCAATTGTCTCACTCTTGTCTTTATTTGTCTATTGTCTCACTATTTGGATCTTTGAATCAATTCTTAAATCAGTTCATATGAATGAGTTTTGCGCTATTAATTTGATTGTCATTTGAGATACAGTAGAAAATGATTGCAATTTCATATTAGCTGTGATACTGTAATAGGATTTTATTGATTTTCTCATAGAATTGATCCGTAAATCATATAATGTTTGATATAAACGTCTGAATACTGAACTCGTGACTAATGTGTTTGACATGTCTGTCCCCCAGCCATAGAATCTCTATCGTATACGAACAGCAATGACAGCAATAGTCAGAACAAAAACGGCGACAAAACGCTGATTGCGTGCGACATCTGCGGCAAGAACTTCAGCAAACACTACATCCAATCTCATCGGCGGTCGCACACCGGCGTCAAGCCCTACAAGTGCTCGTACGGCGGGTGTGAGCGCACGTTCACTCAGACCAGTTCACGCAACTATCACGAGAAGACTTACCACCGAATCGATAAATATTCGCTGAAATGCTATTACAGTAACTGCGAGAAGTCGTTCGGCCGACAAATTGCGGGTGTGAGCGCACGTTCACTCAGACCAGTTCACGCAACTATCACGAGAAGACTTACCACCGAATCGATAAATATTCGCTGAAATGCTATTACAGTAACTGCGAGAAGTCGTTCGGCCGACAAATTGATCTGCAGAAGCATTTGGCCGTTCATAACAACGCCGGCACTTCACTAGCCTTTAGCGCCAGTTCGCTGATAGCGCCGGTAGTCTTGAACGAACACCAATTTGTGAAACGGCATACCACTCGTAGGCTGAGGCGTGTGCCGCACAGGTCTGGCAAACACGGCTGTCCTCATTGCGGTACTTATTGTTTAGATTTACTATTCATTTAATGAACAATTTTTTAATGTTGTCTAACCATTGATACCATTGCCTCATAACAGGCAAGACATTCGCGCATAAGGTTGCGCTCCGACAGCACGAAGTAATTCATGGGAACAAACAGTTTGTGTGCACTTACGCTGACTGTCAGTACGCCTCGTATTGGAAGCAAAACCTGTCGCTTCATCTGCGAAGACACCACAATCAGCCGTAACACCAATGAGACGATTATAACAGAGATTTTTAATAATAATAACTAATTTAAAGCACTTTTTAGCAAATATCTTATGTGGCGATTAAATTCGAGTCGATTTATCCATTGTTTCTAATTTTGTCACACGTTTTGTGGCTATTTTTTAGACCCAATTATTTATAACACTTTATAATTGATATAAATATTGTATTTATGTGTAATATTTATTGTCGCCCATTCATATAGCATTGTGTTTCTCTACGTGTGTGTTCTCTAATCATAGATTAATATAAAATATAATTTATTAACAAATTTATTAATTTATATATCATTTATATCTGAAGCCAAAAAATCTTTATTACAATTAGTGGTCGATGTGTAGCGTTTGAATTGCGACTGAAATGGGAGCTAAATGTGCACTGATTTGTGGACACGATTTTTATTGTAGCATTTGCTTGTGATTTGTATTATAGTTTGGTTTTTGTTTCACATTTATTTGCTTTGATTAATATAATTGAAATTCATTTTATTAAAAGTCATTTGAATAAAGAAATTGTTTT